CGCTAAATAATTCTTGCAGCAATCAGCACCATTGGAAAGTGAAGTGACAATAGGCTGGTTTTCTTTATACAGCCCGTTTTAAATTCGTATTATTGTTATAATAAATTACAATTATTGTTTGTTTCCATTTCGGTCAAACGCGCAAATTATTTATTAAAAAAATGTCGTTTAAAAATAGCAGATTTTGTTTACTTTTGAATAAGACTTTATCGAGTGCGCTATAAAGACAGGGAGATAAATGCTGTAAAGAAATATATGTTGAGTCCAATTGGTTTTTTGCTAATCCGGTTTTTGTCCATGAAAAAATATCGTTATTTTCGTATTTAAAATAAATCGGAATTTTATGGGGGGTTATAAAAACTCGTTTTAATCGAAACTTTGTTTTTTTCGGCTATATTTGTCTGGCCAACCAGATGCAAAATATTGAATGAACTAACATATTTTAAATAATTACGGAACTACCATTTGTATGCAACAGGCAGGGTCCTGTATTCAAGTAGATGTAATTCGAAAAATTTAAACGGATTTCTTCAAATCAACCTGAGCTGCGGACATATTGCGAATTCATTTTAAAACATTAACCACTACATTATATTAGTATTAAATAATTTCAATTAAGAAACAATTCTTATTAGAAAATAAATATGAATCGTTTTATTTTAAATATTCCAATGTATATTTTTTTGTTAATGCAGATAGTGCGGATTTAACGTATTTTATAACCGTTACATGGGGAAAATAAATTTAAGGCAGATTGTTATTAACAATTTTTACACAATTTACGATTGCAATCAATTTCTTTCAAAACTATAAGCTAAATGATTGCAAGTTGTATTTTTTACGATCAAAACAGATTCCAATATTAGGTATATTATGCAAATGCAATCCAATTTGATTATTCAGTTTTAGATACATTTATATTTCTGTGTTCGTATGGAATAGTAGTTTATGTCGGGAAGCTGGCTTTAGTATAATCCGGCATTCCCTTTATTATTTACAACACAAGGAATTTTTTGATGACCCTTAACAAGAATAGGGACGTGCTAGTATCGGAACTATTTCGTGCACGTTTATTTATCCAAAATTTCTTCAACGGCTCGGCGCCAGTGAGGGTATGCTGCGAATGCCGCATTATACTAAAACCAGCCTTTTGACATAAGCTACTATTCCATACGAGTGGGGCACGTGCGAAATGCGGATTTTCCCAGTTGCAGTACTGCAGTAACTCGACACCTTTCTCACCAACCGCTCTGTCCTCTATGAGCTTCTTAATGTAACTGCAAATAAAAGATGGAAATTTAAGAAAAAATACTATCACAGCGTTTCACTTGTAGCGTTTCACTCTTGTAGTATATTAGCTATCAAGCACCAGAAAATTTCCATCACGCATTCCATATGCCACCGATTGTCGTGGATCAATTAAAATACTGTCATCACAGCTTTTTGGTACTCCAGCAACTGGTGTGTCTATGGCGGAGTTATGTGGAGCTGTTGCATGACTAAAATCAATTTGGGCTCTTTGAGAACTGGCTTGTTTGTTGCGAACTATTGGCATCAAATGTATGCAAATTAGATTTCCAAACGAGCAACTGTTGAATACAGGAAAAAATTTATATTATATGGTTCCGCTAAAGTGCACTACTACCGTGTATAAACTGGCCGACCTTCTAATAAATCAAGCAATCTTATTGTATCATCATCGCCGCCAGTCACCAAGAAATTTCCACTTGGGTGAAATGCAACATCATTCTCCGGCGACGAATGCACTGTATTAGCTCGCCTTCAGCTTTGTCAAATATCTTAACGCGGTTACAACTTAATGCTAAAGCCACCAGATTGCCGTCTGGATGCTATGCCAGCTTTCGTCCCATACCTCTTCCCCCGGTGAACGTTCGCATACATTCATACCTTTTCGGCGATTTGACCACATACAATCAAACCGAATATTGTATTCTGTGCGAGCAGGTCTCTAGAGATTTTCTCAATGCCTTGCAGCATTAGCTGGGGGATGAGGTCACTGCCAATGATTAAATCAATATGGGATGGCGAATGACAGTAGCGATCTGCTAGTACAAGATGAGACCATTTTTCTCGTTGCTCGTGAGTTCGTTGGAATTTTGGTAGCATTTTACTTAACTGGGGAAGCACGATGGCTTGTGCTTTTATTTTGGTTGTCAAATCGGCCGAGAGTAAGACTAGGGAGCACACCTTATTCGAGGTTTGAACAACCCTTCCACCCATGCCCGAGGCCCATTTCAAAATTGGAGGGTTGGCATGGTAGTCGTAGTTTAATTTGAGCTTTGGATGAAATAAAGGGCCGTTCCGAGCACCGTTGGAGCTGATCTGCAATTTGGGCTTTTGTGTCTTCATATGGTATGAGGCAGGATCTGTATTTATTAAAAGCGCCTGTCCTAAAGTCCTCTGGGAGGTCCTGATAATCGATTTTTAGCGTAGAGTCATAGGAGTTTTGGACTCGATTCCAGAACTTATCTAAATTGGTGTCTTTTATCTTAAGCCCTGACTCAGTGTTTCCTTGTATTGGGGTAGACTTGAAACGACCACAGTAATCCATAAAGTTGTCCGTTTCGGATATAAACTTAGTTGGGACGACCGATTGCTTTGGTTTTTTATTTGACTTTCACTTGAACGGGCTGGACGTAGAGATTCCGTGGAAGCACCTCGGGCTTTTTCGTCATCGCTCATTTTGTGTTTTGGGATCTGCAGTCGAATAAAGGGAATGAGCGTATTGAGGTCGAAAACGGGGTTTAACGAGGAAAGAAAATGGATTTTGGGGAGATTAATAGTATTAAAGCTCGTGTTTTTTATTATTTTTTTCCCCCAAAAGAGTTGTATCGCAGGAGGAGAACCCTAAATTATTAAAGACCGCGTTCGCGATAAAATAGTTGAAAATTTAAATGAGAGTTGCTTTAAGCTATTATCTTATTTTATGTGTATATTGTATTTCCATAGGACTTTTTTCGCAAGAAAACCACTTTTTATTTAACTGTGACCGAATTTTTACCGAGTACTGTTTCAGTTTTTTACTTTGTTAATAACGTTGTTGAATTTTTCGGGAGTTCCTGTGTTCACTTAATTACCTCTCTACCGCAAATACGATCCTTATGTTTGTATGTATGTATAAACAGGAGGACTGTTATAAGAGGTAAGTATATGTACTTTAAACTATGTATGTATGTATGTATATATCTAGCTTCTGCATGTATTTGAAATTGCGGGAAAACTTGCTTTTATGCGCTAAAAAAGTGGATATATGGCGGGAAAATGCAATTGTAATTTATGCTTCAAAATTCGAGAAACACACAAGAAGCTAAATATGTGTACATACATACATGTGTATAGATCTATATTTTTTGTTTTAAGCTTTCTACCGCAGGGTTAGTAGTAAAATTTAATAACTTACGGCTCAGCTATGGGTACTTATTTAACAACTGTATTGATTCCCCCGGTCAGGTTCTTGGTGGCGAAGAAGGACCAATGAACAGCGTAGGGGGGCTGTTGGTGGTGCAGTTGGCGGCAGCGGGGGAGAATTCGTTTGGAGCGGGCGTTGGCGAACTAGGAGGCTGGAAGCGGAGGATGGGCACTGAAGAACTGTGAAAACACCGAATTTTGCTTTAAAGGTCACGTAGGACTTTAATTGATGTTAAAACAATTCAATAATAACTCAAAATATATTTACAAGTTGGTAAATTTGCACCCGCACGAATTGGATTTTTTTCTATCTAATGACAGTTCGGCTAAGTAAATATGTACATACATAAGGGTTTCACAAAATCCAGCTTCTTGCAAAGTGCTCGCGAGCGCGTTGCCAACACCCTCAAACATTGATTGGCGGTGTTCACGCTGTACTTTGGGTATTCACCCAAGAAAGAGGATTTACATGGTAAATTCATGTTCATACAACAAATTCAATGAATGTAAAATAAGTAACTGAGATACTATAGATCAAGATAAAATTCAAGTATACAATTCAACAATAAAATAGTTAATCTGCTACATCTACGATTAAATCCAATGTGTGGTATGTAGAGTATTTGTTTCTCCTTTCAACAAATTGTTTTTAATTTTCTAGGAACTTTGAGCGTCGATTTGCAGTGCGCTGTTATATCGTTCTTGCGGGCTGCAGGGGAGTCGTTTCTGTAACCCGCCGGTAAGTCGTTTTTGCGACCCGCTGGCGAGTCGTTTTTGCAGCCCGCCGGCGGAATACTCGGTTTAGAGATTAGTCACACAATTTTTTGCAGAGACATTTGAAAGCAAATTTATATGTCTGGGTGTAGCTGAGTGCGTATAGATGCTTGCCACAAGTTGTTGATATCCGGAGATGGTCGGGTTCGAATTCCACTGCAGGCAACATGCAAATAAATTTTTTGTTTTAGTTTTTGTCTTGATTATTCACTTTACGGATGCTTTTTCAGTACGAACGCGGTCATTTTAATATGCGCGTAATTGAATTGAATATTTACCAATATACAGTACTTTCGTTGACGTTTATAGTAAGATCAATTACGTTTCTATTTGATTTTAATATTTTTTTTCCCTCAGTGTATGAATAAATCATATTAACTTTACTAAAGGGTCTGAAATGCCGAAATCCCTTCAAGGTAATGGCAGAATTGAACTTTGTTGCAAGTTCACATGGGAAATCTGCTTGCGACGGGATTCGAGGAAATTTTAAGAGACTAGCAGTTAGAGCAAGTCTTCACCTCCTGTCGTTACAACAAATTCGTACACCCGAAGCCCTCTACCAATGGAGTAAGAATAATTTAGAGAAAAAGAAGGTGCTGTATGTTTCCACTGTCATGTCTGTAAAAAATAACTGCAACTAACTTTACAGTGAACTTTATTTCGACTATGACTACGTGCCAATTACTTTAATCCTATATAGGGTTTCCAGATTTTTTTGGCGCGAAATCAGTACATTAGCCTTTTTCATGCTATAAAAAATCAGTTATTTTCAGTACACCTTTATTCCAAGCAGAATTATGAATGTAAGTAGCAGATAATACTTTGAAACGCCAGAGTACTTGTTTTTAATAATATCTTGGTATGGGTAAGGCTTCCTCAAGTGGGCCCCGAATCTACCAAGATTAATATTTTTCAATGATATTCAGGCAGCGCCAAGTTTTGTAGTCGAAAAGTACACTGTGTAAATTTTGTTGCAAAATTCCAAATAGTTTTTTTAATGAACAATTGAAAATTTGTGCAGTGTTTTCGAAATTTTTATTTTTCTTTGAAAGTAAGTGTCCGAATGAAAAAAAATTTTTGGGTGCAGATTTAAAAAACATTAAACTATACAATGAAATTATTTGCATTACAAAAGAAAATTTTTGTTTGCTTTTCAATAATTTTTTTATGAAAAACTTAACATTTAAGCAATTTCTGCGCCTCGTGCACGAACATTTTTAACAATCAATCTCAATCTCTTCAACTTTCATCCAAATCCTTAGAGGTCGCGCACAGAGGTAGTCGCGGTGACATGAAATGCCTCATATCGTAGTTTTTCCATTAACCTCACGTTTTTACATACATATATACGTCCCCATACATACATTTGGATATTTACATATCGCTCATTTACTTCAATAGTGTAATAACTAGAAAAAAAAAAATCTTGTAAAACGGCATAAAAGTTTTAAATTTACATATCATCACTTGAAATGCAAAAAGATGTAACAAACACCATTGTTGAAATGCAAAATGTCATAACTAATAAAAAATTCAAAATTAATTTTTTGATTATATGATGGATTTCATCGAATTCCCATATTATAAAAAAAAAAATATTAGGCACGACCTTTTCCATTTCATTTACGATGTTGTTAAGTCTGTTTGCATTTCAGGTGACGATATACTCCCACAGTAAAAATGAATACACATCTTGTTCCAGTCACCTACTGGTAAACGATACATCTATTTTTACACAATATAGACGAAAAGATTGCGGTAATTTCTGCACTACACCATTGAAGTAAATGACCGATATGTACCTACATGTACAGTAGAGTGGTCCAAAAAAATAAAGTGGAAGTTTTAATGCCGGCACACCCTAGGATTGATCTATATCGAAAAAAAAATATACCCCTATTTTTTTATTTTGAAATCAAAAAATATTTAGGGAGTGCTCAAAGCGCTCCAAGTTTTCCATGTATTTTAAATGGAGAAAAAACATATAGAAGTAGTGTAGAATTCTTGAAAACTTTACTTATCTTCAAGAGATTCCCAGTAATAATACTCAATTTTTCTTTAAAAATTTTTTCATGGTATATTTTATAGGTCCTCCAAAACCCTTAGAAAATGCAATGGGGGACCAATAAAAAATCTTTAATCATAAAAAATGGTTAAATAAACAATTGGATATTAATACTGGAAGTCTCCTGAAGAGAACCACAGTTTTCCGGTCGAAAAATATTGATTTTCAAGAGTTTTATACCATTTCTACGAAAAATTGTTTTTTCTCCATATAAAATACATGGAAAATTTTGAGCGCTTTGAGCACTCCCTAAATATTCACCCGGATTGCAATGGGGTATAGTCATTGCGCTGGGTATGCAGTTACAGTTGCATGGCTATACTCAATCCCGACTCTTGCGTCCTCGTTCGCGCACTCTGGGCAACGTGAGCAACCCATGTGCGAGATGCGGTAACCAATCCGAGTGGAGCCTTGGGTCACGGCAGAAAGAGAGGGAGCTTCGGTGGGGCCGCTCTGACTTATTCGGTTTAAGGGCTCACTGAAGTCTACAGCGTCTGTTCACCAGTAGGTGCGGCTGCAAGCGGGTGTCTGCTTGGAGCAAGCGGCTCGCTATATAAACGTGTATTTGGTTGCGAAACCACCCCCGTCCCAGCAATGGGTTGTGCGCTGGGCTTGGGACCCGCCACGTAAAAACCACTTCCAGTGAAGAAGCAAGGCAAAGCCTCGGATGAGACCCCCCCTTATGATGACGACCACGGCAAATGTTTAAAGGACTACGATTTGAGGGCATGCACCTGGAATGTCCGGACCCTTAATGGGGAAGGTGCCTCTGCCCGGCTGGTTGATGTCCTCGTAAGGACAAAAGCTGACATCACCGCCATCCAAGAAATGCGTTGGACGGGGCAAGGCAAAGAATGTCTGGGGCCTTGCGACGTCTACTACAGCTGCCATGTAAAGGAGCGCAAATTCGGAGTTGGATTTGTGGTGGGAGAGAGACTCCGTCGCCGAGTACTGTCGTTCACCCCGGTGGACGAGCGTCTAGCCACAATCCGCATCAAAGCGAGATTCTTCAACATCTCGCTCATCTGCGCCCATGCCCCGACGGAAGAGAAGGATGAGGCATCCAAGGATCTCTTCTATGAGCGCTTGGAGCGCACGTACGAGCGCTGCCCCCCGTCATGATATCAAAATCGTGCTTGGCGACTTCAATGCCAGGGTGGGCAAAGAAGGGATCTTTGGAACCACCGTCGGAAAATTCAGCCTCCACGACGAAACGTCCGACAACGGATTGAGGCTGATCGACTTCGCCGGGGCCCGAAACATGGTGTATGCAGTACTAGGTTCAAGCATAAATAGATCCATCAAGCTACCTGGCTGTCTCCGGATCGAAAAACGAGAAACCAAATCGATCATGTTGTGATAGACGGAAGGCACGCTTCCAGTGTTTTAGACGTACGCACACTCCGAGGCCCAAACATCGACTCGGACCACTATCTTGTTGCAGCCAAGATACGCACCCGCCTCTGTGCAGCAAAAAATGTGCGCCCAAATATGCAAGGAAAGCTTAACGTCGAAAAGCTGCAATCACAACAGACAGCCAGCGCTTTCGCTACTCGACTCTCACACCTGCTCTCAGAGAGCACTCTTCAACAAACCGACATATGCGAGCAGTGGAACCACATTTCCCGCTCATTAAGTACCGCCGCCGAAGAAGTAGTCGGATTTCAGCGAGCCCGAAAGAACAACTGGTACGATGAGGAGTGTCAGGAAGCTGCAGAGAAAAAAGATGCCGCCTACAGGGCCACGCTGCGATCGGGCGCAACGCGCGCTATGTGGGACCGCTATAGGGATCTGAAGAGGGAGCGAGACGTATTTGCCGCAACAAGAAGAGAGAGGCAGAAATACGTGAGTGCGAAGAGCTTGAAATGCTGGCCGACAGGAGGAATGCCCGAAAATTTTACCAGAGAGTTAGGCGACTTACGGAAGGTTTAAAGACAGGGGCGCACTCCTGTAAGAACAATAATGGCGACCTAGTAACTGATGTCCAGAGCGTACTTAAATTATGGAGGGAACACTTTTCCGCCCTACTAAATGGCAGCAGCACAGAAAGTTGTGGAGAAGAAGAACCCGAGCCCGCAGTCGATGATGACGGAGTCGACGTTCCACCGCCTGACTATGACGAGGTACGTATAGCAATAACGCGGCTGAAAAACAACAAAGCTGCTGGAGCTGACAGCCTGCCAGCTGAGCTATTCAAGTACGGCGGCGAGGAGTTGATAAGGTGCATGCATCAACTCTTGTGCAGAATATGGTCAGATGAACGCATGCCCGACGACTGGAATTTAAGTGTGCTCTGCCCAATCCACAAGAAAGGTGACCCCGCCATTCGCGCCAACTACCGCGGGATCAGCCTTCTAAGCATAGGTTACAAGGTCTTATCGAGCGTATTGTGTGAAAGACTGAAGCCCACCGTCAATGAACTGATTGGGCCTTATCAGTGTGGCTTTAGACCTGGCAAATCCACCATAGACCAGGTATTCACAATACGCCAAATCTTGGAAAAGACCCGCGAGAAAAGGATCGACACTCACCACCTATTTGTCGACTTTAAAGCCGCTTTTGACAGCACTAAAAGGAGTTGCCTTTACGCCGCTATGTCTGAATTTGGCATCCCCTCAAAACTCATACGGCTGTGTAAAATGACGTTGAGCAATACCACCAGCTCCGTCAGAATTGGAAAAGACCTCTCCGAGCCGTTCGCCACAAAACGGGGTTTCAGACAGGGCGACTCCCTTTCATGTGACTTCTTTAATCTGATGTTGGAGAAGATAATAAGAGCTGCAGAACTGCACCGCTCAGGAACAACTTACTACAAGAGCGTGCAATTGCTGGCTTATGCCGATGATATCGACATCATCGGTAACAAAAACCGCGAAGTCTGTTCTGCCTTTTCCAAGTTGGATAGGGAAGCAAAGCGCATGGGTCTGGTGGTAAACGAGGGCAAGACGAAGTATCTCCTGTCATCAAACAAACAGTCAGCACATTCGCGCCTTGGCTCCCACGTCACTGTTGACAGTTACAATTTCGAGAAAGTAGAGAATTTCGTTTACTTGGGAACCAGCATTAACACCGATAATAATGTCAGCATTGAAATCCAACGTAGAATCACCCTTGCCAACAAGTGCTACTTTGGACTGAGTAGGCAATTCAGGAGTAAAGTCCTCTCTCGACGTACGAAAACCGCGCTCTATAAGTCACTCATCATGCCCGTGCTGGTATATGGCGCAGAAGCATGGACAATGACAACATCCGATGAGGCGGCTCTTGGGGTGTTTGAGAGAAAGATTTTGCGGAAGATTTACGGTCCTTTACGCGTTGGCGACGGCGAGTACCGCAGACGATGGAACAATGAGCTGTATGAGCTTTACAACGATATGAACATAGTGCAGCGAATTAAAATACAGCGGCTCCGCTGGCTTGGTCATGTCGTTCGAATGGACACCGACGCTCCAGCTCTGAAAGTATTCAACTCGGAACCCGCTGGTGGTAGCAGAGGAAGAGGGAGGCCCCCACTGCGATGGAAAGATCAGGTGGAGAAGGACTTGGCTTCACTTGGCGTTTCCAATTGGCGTCAGTTGGCACAGAGGAGAAACGACTGGCGTGCTTTGCTGAACTCGGCCAAAATCGCTTAGGCGGTTACAGCGCCAAAAAAAGAAGAAGAAGAAGATATTTTATAGGTCCTCCAAAGCCCTTAGAAAATGCAATGGGGGACCAATAAAAAATCTTTAATCATAAAAAATGGTTAAATAAACAATTGGATATTAATACTGGAAGTCTCCTGAAGAGAACCACAGTTTTCCGGTCGAAAAATATTGATTTTCAAGAGTTTTATACCATTTCTACGAAAAATTGTTTTTTCTCCATATAAAATACATGGAAAACTTTGAGCGCTTTGAGCACTCCCTAAATATTTCAAAAAAAAAAAAAAATATGGGTATATTTTTTTCGGTATATAACAAAGGGGGTGGCGGCATTAAAAATCCGACCTTATTTTCTTACATACATTTTTGGACCACTTTAATGTACAGTAATAGCACATTTAAAATAATACAATTTGCAATAGAACAGGGTTTTAAGTAATAGATTTCTGAACAATTTTAAATTTCTTTCAGCCTGATCAAATCCCGAAAGATGAGCAAGTTCTGGTTTGCAAGTACGTGATGGATCCATTATGCATCGATGGTCACAAATGCGATCTACGTGTTTATGTACTCGTGACTTTATTTGACCCGTTACTAATTTATATCTATGAAGAAGGATTGGTTCGATTAGCTACGGTGAAATATGATCGCAGAGCTGAAAATCTGTGGAACCCCTGTATGCATCTTTGTAACTACAGTATCAATAAGTACCATTCGGACTATATAAAATCACTAGATGCTGAAGCGGAGGATGTTGGCAATAAGTGGACACTTTCCGCTCTACTGCGGCACCTTAAGTCACAAGGTTGTAATACCCATCAGCTTATGTCAAGCATTGAAGATTTGATTGTAAAATCTATATTTGCCTGTGCACAAACTGTTATCTCAGCTTGTCGTATGTTTGTTCCTAGTGGAAACAATTGCTTTGAGTTATACGGATTCGATATTTTAATTGATGATAGCCTCAAGCCTTGGCTTTTGGAGGTTAATTTGTCGCCATCTATGGGTATTGATAGCCCATTGGACTCAAAAGTTAAAACATGTCTTATTACTGACCTCCTAACATGTGTTGGCATTCCAGCTTATTCCACTGATATGCGTGCTCAATACGATAATAAATGGACACGATTTCGTAACGTTAACTCTGCCAGAAAAACGGCATTTGTGGATTCTAATTTGAGCATTGGCGGTAACTGCATGCGACGTTTGACTGCAAGTAGTACCCCAATATATCAACCGCTTACAATGGAAGAACAACGAATTGTGAGAAATGCTCGTCTGCAAAATTCCAGACGTGGTGGATTTGTTCGAATTTTTCCTACTAATGATAGTATACAACGTTATGGGAACTTTCTTGATATTTCCACTGGTATACCAATATCTACCCCTGTTGTACAAGGACAATTATCATACTCAATGATATTGCCACATAACTATAATCATGTGTTATTTAATCATTTATATGGGATAGAGAATGGCAAAAACGAAGGTAATTCATTTATGGAAAGAATGTGTCAGTATGAGCGCGCTTTACCCGTTGGGTCATTTATTTTATTCAGTGAGACAAATCTTAAATCAAAGTGCGTAGAGGAAAGTAAACGTTTGCGTAAACAGGTCATAAAATTAATTAACAGTGGTTCGGAATTAACCCAACTTCAAGCCAGACAATCTTTTTCTTTATACTTAGAAGCAATCTTACAAAGACTTTCTCAAGAGCCAAGAGATTTTCATGAAAAGATAATTTTAAAGTTTTTGAATAGAGTAGGTGGTTCTGTGAAAACGCCGCTATTCTTTCGCAACACTCCAAATCTTCGAGTCAACAGCAAAGCCCGATCAGCTATGGTAGCGAAACTTTTAGGAGATTTTCTCGAACAGTACAATCGCGATACTGAAGCTTATGTGGATGCTTTCGATCATTTTGGTATGATACCAAGTACCTTATTTGGACATTTCTTATCCCAAGCTCAAGAGGCAGATTTAGAAGCTATCTTGGCTCTCCACACAAATGTTACTGGAAATATGTCGTATTTATATAACAGGTTTGGTTTATCCCTTCCTAAAACACCTCCTATTCCATCTGGATTACATGGATTCTTAAAAGCTCTGCCTGCTATGGTGCTAACTGGCTCTGTTGCAAGAGACTTTAATAAGTGCAATGGATATTACAAAACCAACGAAAAAAATTTGACTGGCTTTAAAAGTGAAAAGTTACCAGAAGTTGCGATTAGTAAAAAGTGTCCTGGTAGATAAATAACGTGCTCTATAATAAATAAGAAAAGAGTGCGGCATAGATTTTTTTCCATGCTTACTGGATGCCTGCACATTTTTAGTGTATTACATAAATTTGTATTTCGACTATGAACGGTGAATTACTCATATTATAAGTTTAGGTTTAAAAAACTTTTCGTGTTTTTTTTATTAAAGCTAATCATATACAAGTACACTTACATAGTTTAATAAATTGTCTGTACCTTCTTGTAATAATAATATATACAACGCAATATTAAAATATAGAAATCTTTTCATGTATGTAATGCCGGAAACGCCATTTTTAAATACAATAAATTTTGCCTTTAAACATTTACTTAAAATCCTTGTACGATTTTTGTTTATATATAATGTAGCTGTATAAAATTGCAATTATTTTCTGAGACACAAAATAATCATTATCCTAATATTTGAGATCAAAACGTCGCCTTGTTTTAAGAGACATTTTTTTTCGTTTTTGTATGATAATTATTTACGAGAAATATCTTTTTTCGTCTCTCGGGACGTTTATTTCAAGACGAAAATTATTTACGTCTTCTCATAATAATTATGTGGGACTTTTATTTTTTTTATTATTTTATTTATCTCGCGGGCCCTTTATTTCAAGACGGAAATGATTTACGTCTTCTCATAATAATTATGTGGGACTTTTATTTTTTTTGTCTCGTCGGACGTTTATTTTAAGACGGAAATGATTTACGTCTTTTTATAATAATTATATCCGAATTTTATTTTGCTCGTCTCTCGTGACGTTTATTTCAAGACGACAATGATTTGCGTCCCACGTTTACTCTTAATAGAAACGGTACATGTACTGCCGATTTCACGATTATTGGAATTTGATTTGCTAATATCTGGCAACCCATTTCAAAAAACTGAAACCACGTTAAAGCAAAGCCTTTTAATTTGACATCTCATTTGTGAAAATCGAATGAACGATACAGATTTGATGACATTAACAATCATGGCGTTAAATATTTAATCTTATAATTATTAAGAGAAGGTTTAAATAATTTCCGTCGTGAAATAAACGAGAAACGAAAAACAAATAAAAATCCCATATAATTACTATGAAAAGGACCAAATCATATTAGTCTTGAAATAAACATCCCGAGAGGCGAAAAAATATAAAAATCCCATACAATTATTATTTGCGTTTCGTTAAAAGTACAAAACCGCGTATCAACAAAATGCAAAACTGCGCATCAAGATAGTGCAAAACCGCGTATGTGAGGTTGCATAAATTATTTTCTAGAGAGTAAAAACACTCATATTTCAAAATGGTTCTCTTTTTTATTAGCCCAATAATATTAAACTTTTTCTCAAAAAAAATTTTTTAACAACGATTTTTTGATGCAGTTTACTTCGATTTGCACGCAGATCATGGATCCACAGCCTTACCCCTAAAATTTATTTGGCAACATTCCGCCATCTTGGATTTTATTTTATTTTTTTGGATTTTTTGCGATTTGCAAGCTTATTTTGCAGACTCAGAGAATATCCCTAGTGAGAAAAGGAATAAGCAATGAATGAAAATTTAAGACTTACAGCCAGTGTTACCGTTTTAGCCCTTTGGTGGCTAGATTTAGTTACCACATACTTTTTTTTGGCCACATAAATTTAAAATTGCCTCTAGCCCGTTTTTTAGCCCTCTGGAGAATTTACTTACACTTGGCACGAAAAAGTTGTATATGGGCAAAACTTAAAAATAGGTAGAATTTCAAAAAAAAAAAATTGAATTTTTAAATTTGTGAGCACACCTATGTTTCATATATCATTTTATTCGTAATCACTTAATAAATCGACTAATATAAGTGTAATTCATTTTCATCAAGTGCTTCAAAAGTGAGACGAGGAATAAACATGAATTAGAAAACAAAACATACAAATTTGAACAAAGATTTTGAAAGTTAATTGGGACGTTCTAAATTCAATGGCATGCCCCGTTTTACCAGCTTTGCTCCGGTTTTCGAGATAACGGTACTTGAAAATATGATTAAATTTTAACTATTTTATAAATAACTCCCTCAGTTTTGAAGCTACTAAAATTTTGCACATAACAGTTTTTTTAATATTACCTTAATTATTCCTTGTCGGCCGCTGCGGTGTAGTGGTAAGCAGTGCGCGCTTCCACTCCGCAACACCTGGGTTCAAACCCTGGTCAAAGCAACATCGCAAAAAAAATATAGAAAAAAGGTTTTTTCTTAACAGCGGTCGTGCCTCGGCAGGCAATGGCAAACCTCCGAGTGTATATCTGTCATGAAAAAACAGCTTCTCATAAAAATACAATCGCCGTTCGGAGTCGGCGTAAAACTGTAGGTCCCTCCACTTCGTGTGACAACATCAAGGCGTGCGCCACAAATGGGAGGAGAAGCTCGGCCAAACACTAACATATGTGTAAGCGCCAATCTATTATTATTATTATTATTATTATTCCTTAAAATTATCGAAATAGGTTCACATTAACATATACATAGCTCCAATACAACTGATTACTCAGATATGTGTTTTTATGCTTTAACTCTAACTTCATATCTGAATAAAAAATTGTATGCGTGCTATATGTTAAATTGAACCTATACTAAATTTTAACCTGTTTAATTAGAGGAGTTATAACGCAAAACAACGACTCTGATCAATCAGTTGTATTGGAGCTAGATGTTTTAGTGAACCGATTTCGATGATTTTATGGAATAGTTAATGGTTATGGTAATATTAAAAAACGGTTATGTGTAAAATTTTAGTAAAATATCTTCAAAACTCGGACTTTTGTATAAAATAATTAAAATTTAAGCAAAGTTTCAAGTACCGCTATCTCGAAAATTGGAGCCAATAGGATAAAACTGAGGACGCCATTGAATTAAGAAGGCTCCAATTAAGTAATACCAACTATCAGAACATTTGTCGAAAAAAAGTTGCTTTGATACCACTCTCGAAATATTCTGACTAAAAGAAGGAGCATCATTAAAAGTAAAAAATCAGGGTTTTTACACACTTCTAGATAAAAAATTTTTGAAGTATTTTACAGGTATATGTAATTTTATAAGGACTAGCAGTCATAGAAAAATTTAGATCGTTTCGAGGTATTTTCCAAATGTGCCTTCAATTAAGGTGTTTTTGGAATAAAAATTACGTTCAAGATCGCAGAATATTTTATCTTTAAAAGTTAGTTTATTCTGAAAGCACACCTCTTGCTAAGGTATCAAATTTTTCGTAATATTTTGTAGAATACAATAAATACTTAAAAAGTTCTTAAAATTAAATGCTTCAAAACCTGTACGCGATAAACCGAAAATTTTGAAAATTGTGAAATGTAGAATTACAGACTTTGAGTTACTTGCCAGGCACACTTTTCTTGCCTACTACATATGAAGTGTACACATAAGTGCTAAATGCCCATTTAATTTCAAATCAGAATATGGTTTGCTTCAAAAGTTATAACATAATTAATTGTGCCCGCCCCTCTCAAAAATTACATAAAAAAATTCACTTGTTGTCATTATTTTTTTTAATTTAAACACCTATAATTCAAAAGTTATGCAGCAAATTGATCAAATTTTTTTTGAGGCTGCAAGTATACGTCAATGAATTATATTCAAAAGCAACCAGCTTGATTTAGTTTACAACAGTGAAAATTAAGCTAAATAACACAAAGGTTACCTGTTTTTTAGATTTGCCCATATGATTAATTTGATCTAATTTTTTTCATTTATGTAAGAGACGAATTTTTAAACTAATCGAGTTTTCGTTTCTACCGAAAAATGTTACCTTCGCATTGCCCTCTCAGCAAAAACGCTAAGGATCGGGCAATGAAAAGGCAAACTTTTTTGTAGAAACGAAATCGCCATAAAAAAGACTGATATATATATACATATGTATCTATATGTATTGTTTGTTCCATACGTTTTTATACATACATACTGTAAAAGTGTTAAGGCTGTTAATTAACGATTTAACTATAGTTTAAAATAGATATTTTTACTGTCCTTAATATGCCATTAATCGTTCTCTTGTTATTCAATTTTCAAATTAGGGGTTGGAAATTTGATGTGCTAGCACCCCATCCAAGCATTTGTGAAAAAAATATATGCTGACGATTGGTCATCGATTGGCCAGGATTGGTCGCTAATTTTCATCGTTTGGTCATTTACGGTTCTCTTTTTATTAAATTTTAAAATTAAGGATTGCAAATTTAATCTCCAAGCATTGACAGGATTTACGAAAAAAAAACTATACGCAAACGATTGGTCATCGTTTGGTCAGGATTGGTCACTAATTTCCATCGTTTGGTCATTAACCGTTCTCTTGTTATTCAATTTTCAAGTTAGGGGCTCAAAATTTGATGTGCTAGCACCCCATCCAAGCATTTGAGAAAAAAAAATATACGCAAATGATTGGTCATCGTTTGGTCAGGATTGGTCACTAATTTCCATCGTTTGGTCATTAACCGTTCTCTTGTTATTCAATTTCCAAACTAGGGGTTGAAAATTTGATGTGCTAGCACCCCATCCAAGCATTTGTAAAAAAAAAACTATATGCGAACGATTGGTCATCGATTGGTCAGGATTGGTCGCTAATTTTCATCGTTTGGTCATTTACGGTTCTCTTTTTATTAAATTTTCAAATCAAGGGTTGAAAATTTGATGTCCAAGCTTTTACAGTATTTACGAAAAAAAAACTATACGCAAACAATTGGTCATTGTTGAAAACTGTCGCCGCTATTGATAGTTTTTGAAAACTATCGATGTCGGTTTTAGCAAGACTTCACAATGTCTCTTCATTACATCTCAACACATTACATAAATTTTTTTTTTCCAAGAACACAACACAGTCGGCAAAAAAATTTTGAAATCATTGGGATTTTTAGCAACTACAAGCTTACACTGAGTTATAGTAAAATTTAATAAGCTATAAAACTGCTTAGAAATTCGAATTAAAAAGCTTTAATTTTTAATTATTTTGTAGTTTTTTATGTTTTGTACAACTTTTATAAAAAATTAGTAGACACTAAATAAACAAAAAATAGTGAAAACTGCTAAAAAATGTTGTGGTGCTATTATTTTGAGCACTGTTTTATATTCGTTTTCTTATAATATGGTAAAATGTTAATAATTTCCTTTGTCCGGATTTTGATATGCGCTTCCGTATTTGATCTCAGTTGAACTTTTATAAGAATGAGTTGTCAATTTAAACGAATATCTTTTACTTTGTTTGTTTTGTAGTATTATAAATGTACCTTTATAGCCAATTTCACTTCTTTGCACTTCAAAAGG